TGTGGGTTACCGCTTTGGCTCCGTACGTCGTCCTCATCATCCTGCTTTTCCGCGGCGTTACGTTGCCTGGAGCGACGGAAGGAATATGGTATTATTTGACTCCTCAGTGGCACAAGCTCACCCATTCCAGGGTGTGGATTGATGCAGCGTCGCAGATTTTCTTCTCGCTTGGACCCGGTTTTGGAACGCTCCTTGCGCTCTCCAGCTACAACAAGTTCAACAACAATTGTTACAGGGATGCGTTACTTACGAGTAGTATCAATTGCTTGACCAGTTTCCTCGCAGGATTCGTCATTTTTTCGGTGTTAGGTTATATGGCTCAGAAGCAGAACAAACCCATAGAAGAAGTCGGTTTAGAAGGTAAGATTGTGATAAATATTAATTTAATACATTTGAAAATATATAAAATAACTTTAACTAATCCTTGTTGTTGTTTTTGGTAACTAAGGTCCAGGACTAGTGTTCATAGTCTACCCCGAAGCTATAGCAACGATGAGCGGATCCATATTTTGGTCCATCATCTTCTTCTTGATGCTCATAACTCTGGGATTGGACAGCACCTTCGGAGGACTCGAAGCTATGATCACGGCCCTTTGCGACGAATACCCCAACACTTTAGGAAGACACAGAGAGATGTTCGTCGGTTTTCTCCTGGTCGGCATCTACATCTGCGCTCTACCAACTACGACTTACGTAAGTTTACCTCTAACATTCATTTTTAATATCTGAATATAAATTGAATGACAACATTTGCACTCAAAATCTATTCAAATTTGCCAAAACTCGAATCAATAGTGGTACAACCCCTCTCGTAGTGCGTAAGTTATTTATACCCGCAACAATTTCACAGGCTGCGTGTTCTCAATGGGTTTAATTATAGCCCTATATCATTTTTACACATGACGGAGCGATTTTATAACTTGCGCTTTCAAAAACTCCTCTTCGCCAACGAAATATGCCTAGGTATTATGCAGCAAAAAGCACAAAAAAGTGTGAACACAATGTATAAAGCTTCTTTTTGTGTGCGAAACATTTATATTTAACTATTTATTAACTACGATGATTGGATGAGTGGACACGAGTAAATAGTTTGCTCATTAAGTGTACGATGTTGGTACAATATTGCAAGTAGAACAGATACGCTAAAGGCGCATCGATTTTCTAAGTTTTTCTATACAATTAAGGACGTGCTAAATGAATTCAAACACGTTTACTTATTTTGTTGATTCAATATAATTAATAATAATATCTTCCATATTACTAGTGGAAGATTTAGCACTTGAGGCCCATATGTATTTATGAATTCCAATACAAATAATTTTGTAGGCCCCAAAAATCAGTCAAAAACTGACTACATCTTATTGCTAAATGCACGTTCCATTCTTCAGAAATCCAACTTTCATATACATCTTAGGGATCCATTCTTTCTATTACAGTTTTTGAAAAAAATCAATAAAATGTGAAGACACTGCTTTCATTTTTCATTAGTTCATTTTTTAAAGCAAATTGCTGACATACTCTATGAAACCGTAGCAATAATTAAATACACCTTGCATTCCCCAAATATGCATTTTTTGAATTCATTCTATCCATTATAGTTTGTGAAAAAATCAATAAAATTGCGAATAACAGCGAAATGTATAAAACTAGATATTTACATACAATATTATTAGCAGTTGCATAACTTTCATACAACTCTCTGTCAAATTATTTTAAGTGGGATATTTTGTGCGTCGAGGAATGCGGCTTCGTTCGGAATATCTCGCCTATGCTGTCAAATTGCATTCCTCGACGTAACTTCCTTGTGGTAGATCCCGCATTTATCTGAAAATCTCATCACTCATCAATATATATAATAAAAATCCTAAATTTTGTTATTTATTATTAATAACTATAGGGACATTTAATTTGTAAATAGAATACAAATGATAACTGCAAAAAAAAAGAAACTTAATGAAATGACAAAATCATAGTTTCTCAAACGTTTATAAATTTGTTTATTCAGAAGAGAAACATTGCTGATATTATTGTAAACTTAAAGCCTAGTCATTAAAAGAAATAAACATTTTCTAAAATGACAGTTATATCTCTATATGACAGTATGGATATAAAGAAAACAAAATAAATCAGTTGATTGTCATATCTTGTCTATTTGTATTATTCCACTTAGCAAGTACTTAAGAAGTTGTCAGCTGTCATCTTAAACCAAGGTTATAAGTAAGTGATGTCATAATTATTTAGTTGAATGGTAATGTGATTATTTTAAAATAACTTATATCTGAATGCAGATGACAGATTGACAATTGCAATTTACTATTGTTATGTAAATATATTGTGACAAATAGTTACATAATGTCTTTTTTTCTTAGGGTGGTGTCTATTTGGTGAACATGTTGAACGTCTATGGACCGGCTCTAGCAATTCTCTTCGTAGTTTTCGTTGAGGCGGCAGGAGTTTGTTGGATCTACGGCACGGACAACTTCTCCAGGGACATCGAGAAGATGATTGGACACAGACCCGGCATTTTCTGGAGGATGTGCTGGAAGTATATTAGTCCAGTTTTCCTATTCGTACGTAGTCAATGAGGAAGATTTGATGGTGGAAAATATCAAAATATAACTTGTTTTCAGGTCATATTCATATTTTGCTTACTCGGACACGAAGACATGTTGGGCACCGAATACAAATATCCGGACTGGAGCATTAAAGTTGGATGGGCACTGACAGCCTCCTCGATCATGTGCATACCTATTTACATAGTTTACAAGTTCTTGATTACACCGGGGACCATTTCACAGGTACTTGCATTATTACAGGTTATATATGTTGAGCAGTTATTTATAGATATTCTTTTGTTTTCTTACAGAGATGGTTCATAATATGGAGGGCAGAGCGCGCGTCCGACAATAGCGCTTTGACTTACTGCACCGGTACAGAGGTGTGACCCGCGAAAGAGACGACATACATTATCGAGTGGCTTGTCTAAGACGCTACTGTTGACAAATATGCGGAGATGGGTGTTAATCGCAGCCATGGTTATCACCCCCAAAACCTCCGCGATTTACTTGTTATAGTTTCAATGTGTACATTATTTGAATGAATGTAGATAATATCTATCTGTGTAAATATTGTGGTCGTGATTTGATTTGAACCGCTTAACGTAAACATAATTGTCCTACTGCTCCTATTGTTTATTCGAACATGTATTTATTCGTTTGTAAGATCGATCGACTTCGAGATCGAGAAGGCTTTGAGGAATGCTTTAAGTAATTTAGGGTTGTTGCTGGAGAGAGCATTGCAGACCGTTTGAACCTATCAGGGCCAGGATCAGGCGATGCGCAGGATGCGTTCCATTCCTGCTGGATTCGCAAGCGAGGATGAAAGCCAGCCAATTTCATCTTCGACAGTCGCGGATTTACGTGGAAGGAATAACAAGAGCAACAACAACAATGTTAATCGAAATTTCAAATACTCGCATTTAACAATAATTTCGTCTCTAGTGTTTACGGTACTAACAAGGATCACCTGTATTATTGTATTAAGGGCCTATAAACAAAAATTCGATGTGATATGAGGCTGGCTTCGGCCAAGAGCACAGCCATCTCGAAAGCCGAAGCCGCTACACAAATTTAGGTTTCAATTTATTTGATGCGTTTAGAGGACTCTCCATTGTTTTCTAAGTACCAGTGTTTCCGAATCATGTATTGCAAATAAATTTATTTATTTTATCAGACTCTCTATTATTTCACTACATACCTCCAACTAATTAAAAACTATATCAATTAGAAAATTAATACTGCATATAAATCTATGTACATAATTATTTTACAAATAAATAAATTTAAAGAAGTAACAACATTATCTTTTGAAAAATTAGAAAGCACAACGATAAAAATTCAAGTATTAATTACAAGGAAACATTTACAAAAAGTTCATACCTTAATATTTCTTAAGTTTAAGGACATTTTGAAGTTTCTAATGACCATATGACAGTTAATAATAAAAATAATGATATTTGTAGTATACAACTAAATGTTACAAATATGAAATGTTTACTATAGATTCAGACATTAAGATTAATTTAATTGTCTTAACTTCATATAGTGCGGGTAATACATTTCGACAATATCCCGGACTATTTGAAACCAGTCTTATAAAGGTAAAAACAACAATCATAATTGTGTGTAAAAAATAATCACAAATTATTTTTAATTTTGTCAAAGAAAGTTTAGTTTCTTATGGAATTTTCAGTTGGTAAGAGATTATAAATAATAAGTTTAAAACTATAATTGTTGAATAAACAACTTTACTAAATATTATACAGTAAACTAAAATATTATGAATTATTTATAAATTTATGAAATTGTTTTAATGCAAATTTCTCTAGCCCTTCAATTTAAATATGCTAATACCACTCCTCTGCAATCACTCCTATTTCTCCCTTTTAGATTCAGATTTCAATTGTTTTGTTTACGGTCTCATCCCTTTAGCAATGCTGACGAAATAACAATTAAAATAGTTTTTTTAATGAACTTTAATTAAGACTAATTATTGTGTACTTAGTATTTAATTCAATATTTACTTTTATTTCAATGTTTCAAAAGTACCTCAATTTTCAAAGGCCTCGGTTTTCTAATAAAATTTCAAGTCCCGAACATAACCTAATTTGAAAAATGCCATTTAGTATTTGAAGATTTACATTTTTTTAAATAAAAATATTTGAAAAAATTGATTATCACTAAAATTTACCTAATATTAAAAAAAGCAAAAAAATATATAAAAAAGTATATTCTAATTTTTCTTAAGATTTGTTATTTTATGTTATTAACAGCAAGAATATTCTTGATGATTCTTCAATGAATAAAATAAAACTTTCTTAACTTCGAACAACATAAATAATGGATTATGTTATGAAAATGATGACATTCTCCGGTTGCATAATAACAGAATTGACGTGTACTTGTCAAAATCCTAAGTTCTAATTTGGAAGTTCTGTAATAATGGAGGATGCGATCATCGAAATCCACGGTCGTTTCGTGCGAGACACAATTGACGCGATGGCTTACGACACGAACAAATTGACGATCATCCCGAGTCTCGTCTTTCTCGTAAGCAACTTCTACATCATTTACAAGTTCTGTCACCGTTTTACCAGGATCGGTGTGACCACACTCAAAAAGTGGACCATCAGAGTAAGAATTATTCCAATTACATTATTATTATGCAATTGATACTGATTTCCCAGTAGGAGGCAACCTTTCATTCGTCTTTCTTCTACATAAGCAAACTGTGGCTAGTCTTCATAAAACTGTATAAATTGTGTAGTACAGTTATATGCGTGAAAATTGTAAGTATTAAATTATAGAATTTCAGTCTTTAATCATGTTATTTCAACGATTGTATTACAATAAGTATTAATTACTTATTGAATTTAGTATTTGAAGATTTTATGAATATTTGTGTTTCCATTCATTTTATTTAAATGATTGTGTAAATTTATATGTTAAATTAACTTACAAATTTATTTTTGTAATTTTTAAATTCTTAAATTAGTTCGGTTTTCAATAATAAGGAATATTGGCGAATATGCAAAGTATTTCTTTGTTTTAATTGATTTTAATTCAATAATAATCATATTATAGTTATCCTCTAATTTTCAGGCAACCAAAAGCGATCTGACCTTTTGTTACGACCGTTGCAAAGTTCTTGGGTTTGTCTTTATTTCGTTGTTGAGTCTTACGCCGATCTGCGTGTACACGACGAAGAGCATCATCCGTAGAGGAATTCCCAATTTCTTGCTGTGGTATGTATTTGATTTCAATTTGATATGTTACTTTTTTTAGAATTAATTTAGGGTTGGTTTTAGGGTTGCCCAAGATCCATGGGCGAATACAGAAATCGGATTGGCTGGACATTACTTGGATAGGCCTCCATTACAATTTATTGCTCCGAGAAGAGCACAACACGCGTACAATATCCACAGATCGACCAGTGATCATATCCTCTCCGGTCGCGGTAAACTTATCTTGAGAGTATCCAAATCGCTAGAAAACCCCACGAGAATGGAACGGTTGGTCGCTTTGAATTAATAAAGTATGAAACTCAATGCAAATATGCAATTATGTAACTTAACTTTTTCGTTAATAAAAACTAATTTATATCTTTAAATAATCATTAAAATTTGGATTACTATATTAAACGATTTTCGGAGATGGGATTGAAATTGAAAACAAGTGATTTTATAATTTGTACTTAAATTTGTAAAATCAAAAATGAATATAAGTCTAGTTTATATTCTTAAGTACAGTATTGTAGGATTATGTAACTTAACTTCTTCGTTAATAAAACTACAAAAATTAACGTATTTCTAAAGATTAAACAGTCTTTTAAATTTGAATTATTTTATAATTTTAATCAAAATTTGATGACATAAATTATTTGAACTTAAAATTAGTATAGTTAACAATGAAACAATGAATAAGTATACAGTGGAACCTCGTTTAACGAGTTTAACTCGTATAGTGAATAGTGAATATTTTTACTCGTATAGTGAAACATATAACACAAGTACACAAGTTTTAAAAATGATGTAGCAGACGCGCAATCTGGGTCTTCTCTTCAATTAATTTTGCTCGTTAAGCGAAATGATCGTTATGCGAGGTGCTCATTAAGCGAGGTTCTACTGTACTTGATTTTCGATAAAAATTGAAAAAAGTGATTTTATAATTTGAACTTAAATTTGTTAAAATCAAAAATGAAATGAATCTGGAATAAGTATAGTTTCTATTCTTAAGTACAAGATTGTAGAATGTTATGGGGATCCGATTAAAACAAAAACAAGTCACAAGAAATGTCGAAAAAGAAGAGTTAGTTTTCTCTTTTTTTTCTGTTTGGGTTGGTGGTAGAAGATGTGGAGGAGGAGGTGAAGGGTCGAAAACAGAAGTGAGGTGTATACATTGTATAGTGTATATTTATTTAAGCATAATACGAAATGGAATCTATGCGGCCAATAGGAAAACAAATAAATAAGTAAATACGATTCACACGGGTCTTGTGTTTGTTTAGTTAGGACGCACGGAGAAGCAGTGTCCTCCCTCATTGTGTTTATCCATCATCAAAAAATTGTTTTCGTAAAATGCGTATTTATAAATAAATCGCGCGTACGGTATGGACTTACATTTATATTTATACTGAAGGGATGGATGGTTGAGAATCGGAGGAGGAGGAAACTCTTCAGGATGAAGAGAAAAGCGAGAGAGAACGGAAGTACTTCGCGACGAGGAACTTACGGGACTTGATAGGACACAGCTGGCGGGGAGGGGAAGTCACGTCGTCTTCGCCTGTCTTCGTAATTCGATTTAATTTAGTGTGCCTCTGTTTTTGCAAGTATTTTTAGCTTAACACCTCCAAGAACATCCTTAACCAAATAACAATTCTGATATAATAATAATACAGCTATACCTCGCATAGTACGGATAATCGGTTCCGACAACATACTGCACTTTCAAAAACCGGACTGATCGAAGACTTTACAACAGGACTAAACGTGGCATAACTATATAAAGAAAAGACAACTATAATATTAAAAAAATAATTTTTTGTATTAATATTCTATAATTTACTTTTGCCCAATTAAAATTTACTTTTAAATTTTTCAAATCTTGTCACTTGTTTTTGTTTTAATCGGATCCCCAAAATTGTTAAGTACAAATAATATTGAATCCGCACTGAACGAAGCCGCACTATACGAGGTATTCCTATATTTTATATTTTTTTAAAAGAAAGTGTTAAAAAACTAATTTATATCTTTAAATAGTCATTTAAATTTGAATTATTCTATAATTTTAATTACATTTTGATACCAAAACTTATTTGAACTTAAAGTTAGTATAGTTAACAATAAAATAAAGCTCGAATAAGTATACTAACCTTTCTATATTAAACGGTTTTCGGAGATCCGATTGAAATTGAAAACAAGTAATTTTATAATTTGAACTTAAATTTGTTAAAATCAAAAATTAAATGAGTCTGAATAATAATACAGCTATACCACGCATAGTACGGATAATCGGTTCCGACAACATCCTGCACTTTCAAAAACCGGACTAATCGAAGACTTTACAATAGGACAAATAGTGGCTTAACTATATAAAGGAAAGACAACTATAATAATCAAAAAATAATTTTGTGTATTAATATTCTACAATTTACTTTTGTCCAATTAAAATTTACTTTATTTTAAATTTTTCAAATCTTTTCGACCTTTCTTGTGACTTGTTTTTTTTTAATCGGATCTCCAAAATTGTTAACTACACTAACACTAAGTTCAAATTATAATGAATGCGCACTGAAGGAGGCCGCACTATACGAGGTATTCCTGTATTTTATATTTTTTGAAAAGAAAGTGCATGTAAAGCAAAAGGTGGTAGTCATGGAGATTATAGAATAATTTGATAAATCATCAGACAATTATAGCATAGATTTGCAATGCATTTATTTAATTTGTTAAACTAAAATTGGAACATAATACATTCAATAAAAGTTGTCTGCTTAGTGTCAAATATTAATTTTGGACTTTCTTGAATTCCTAATAAAAAATAAATGTATTTAACATTCATAATAAATTATAATTATATTATTTGACAATAGAAACATTTGATAAGAAATAGATTTTTTATATAAATATTTATTAAATTTTACTATAAAATTTGTATTGTCTTAAATAATTTCAATTAACATTTTTTTAAATATATTAATTTAAAAAAATATGATTCACATTTTTTATTTTCATAAGATTATAAATATATTAATTATTAATTTGGTTAATATTTATTTTAATAAATTATTTCGTTTTTTAATATCTCGCATAGTCCGGATAATCCGTTTCTCCTATATCTCGGACTGTTTAAAACCGCAAAAAATAAACAGTATAGAAAGAGACTTGACTATAGAAAGAGAGAGAGAAAACGCTCATTTTCAACTATCTCATAATAATTCTAAAGAATAAAATATAATTACATAATCTGTAATAATTATAATAAATGACACTTCTTAATCATCAGTGAAATTTTTTCTTCCTACTAATATTAGATTAAGAATTTAAATTGCCAAAGTTTACATATAATATCATTCAAATTAGTTCAATATTTTCAGAAAATAAATCAAATACTTTACAAATAAAAAAATTGAGCATATTTAGCAAAATTAGAGTGAGTTTATACTGAATTAATCAAATATTTAGTATTTATTTTAATTAAACCCCTATTAAAATATGTCATAAGTTTCAGTTATTTAAGTTAAAGGATGTTTACAATAATTTAATTAATTAGTGTAAGACAAATTAAATTACGTAATTTCAAAATATATAGATACGAAAACATTTGATTATAAAAAGTGTCACTTCATACAAATTTAATTAATATTTATTATATAGGCAGACATTTCTGTTGTAATAAACGTTTTTTTTTCTATATTAATTATTTATTGTAAAAGTATTATG